TAGTTGTTGATTGTATTGTAATTTATTTATTTATTTGTGTAATATATGGAACAAATACCGTTCTGGAAAACAAGGAACAGGTAGCAATCCAAAGTGGCAATTCATGTAAGATTATCTAGTTTACTGGAAGATTTTCTAATCAGCTATTTCATATGCGGGTTCAACTTTAAAAAATCAAGCATTCATTCACTTTATAGGTCGATAGTGTGTAACTAAATTCTGATTGGTCATTTGACTAAAATGTTGAACAGCATTCAATTATACAGAGTCAATGGGATTTTGCTATGTCACACAATCAGCATGAAGTATTTTCTCCTGACAAAACTTGCGCTATGCTGCCCGTTGTATTCTGTATAAGAAGGTATTTTCACTCTAATCCAGATATCTGAGGGTGCTGACAATGACTTAGGGTTTTACTGCAATGAAGAACAGCTCCACAACTGGAAGCTAAGAACAATGGTAAATGTTCTTGGTTCTGCAAAAAAAAAAACAAATACACAAGCAATAGCTTTTCGAGGGGAGAAAATCTGCACAATTTGGTAATGTTTGTTAATGTTAATAAAGCAGTCAGCAAAATAGACTGCAAAAAGGAACGCTTGCAGAGTGCTCTGAAAAGTAGGCTACACCAACACTGGATATATGAAGAAGACGGAGAGAACTATCAATGCCATATTACCACAGCTACCTTCAAAACAAACTAGTTTACATATAAAACTTTATATTAACTTAAGACATGATCATTTTCGTCAGGGCTGGCACCATGAGGGGGCATACATGTGCCATGCCAACCTTGCCCCTAAAAAAGATCCCTATGCCCCCTAAACGCCACCCACATGGGATACCATCTTTAATGTCATTTAAATGTTATTTTTCAATAAAAGTATTCATCCTAAGCCTGGTCAGTCCCGGGGCCATAACTGTGGATCACCTGTTTACCAAACGCCACCCCATTTCCGTCTTCAGGTACAATCATACGTTTATTTTGACTTTGCTCTTTGTATGTTGGATGTAACCTAATGATTAACTAACCTACGTAAAAGCATCACAAAGAACCCCTCACCTCCGAATTAGACTAAATTTCTTGTAATTTCGGCATTTGTTTGTCTTCCCCCACAGGTTAGGCCTATGCGGTAATACTGTAGTTAAACAGGGCATGGATTAGATTCTAAGGCATAATAAAGTGTTGGCCTTAACTGCCATGAATGTCACCAACCATGAAATTAATGTTTTCGATAAAATATTGATTAGTAAAATGCTGCTGTACTTATGGAGCTGCCCAGCTATAACTTGTAAATATGTTGTAAATATAGACGGGAGAAAGGGGGTCCGTCAATCTCTCCATCTATAAAACTGATGAAACCAAGAAAAGGATAGTCACGTGAAGTTATGGATAAGGTATTCTTTAAAAAGGGGCTGCTCAAAGATACACCAGCAGGAAACTGTAGAGGTCTGTGTTTAAATGTGGTCGCACACAAAATTGTCCGTCATTGACAGGTACTATTAAAAGACATAGCCTATCCACTTAACCAGTCTATAACTGCATTTAGATGAATGCAACAGAATTTGCACAAATGAGAACAGGGAATGTGAAATCTGTATACATATGTAATTTTTTCATAATGCACCTTTTATTTTCCTATGATAAATGAAAAATCAAATTATATTCATATACATTGCAGAAGCATTTTGGGAGCAGATGCAATCTGTTATTTAAAATGGTTACTTTAAGATCGAAATCGCTATAATATACAATCACATTGATATTTCAATCTCTCCTGTTAAAAGAGGTAACACTACATGTTACATTCTGCGACACTTTCGATGGATTTACGATTTGGTTGTGTGTCACGGATGCTTTTAATCAAGAAGTACACGAATGATCCGTTTTGTCAATATTGGTTTCTTTTCATCTCAGCTGTACCTGTAAAATGTGTCAACTAAGCATAACATCTTATTGGCCTTGGATCCCTCCTTCAGTGAGCCAGAGCTAGACTGAATTAGCAGGAGGGACGGCAGTACAGCCTTGGGCCTCAAACCAAACGGCAAGATTATAACACAGGTAAAGTGACTTTACAACTAAGATGCTGTGTACTATCCTTTAGCAAAAATTGCTCCTATTGGCTAAAAAGAATTTATATATATTCAGCCTGTGAAAATTCAAGATTGAATGGATTACTATCTTGAGTGTTAAGATGTTCATTATGTAAAGTCTCTCAATGTTTTGTAAATTCCTTTATGGTCAGGGACATTTTATTGTTCAAAACGGTCTATCATATCGATATATGACCCACACGTGCAGGGGTAAGTACAGCTCTCCATTCCCAATGAGGTTTTGAGTTTTGGGCTTAGAGCATCGCTATGTATTCCAGCTTTAAACACAGTCAAAAAACAAGAACATAACATACAATAAATAAAAAGCTTCTCGCTGACTGGTTTTACTTATACTCTTATTAATTTAAATATATTGAATTTGTGTGGGTGAGGGTATATGTATATGTTGCCTATGGGGAGAATATATGGTTAAAAATTGTCTATTTATGATTCCCAATACATCATTCCTACATCAGGTTTCAATTCAGAACTTTTTTTGTGTCATGAGTTTTAGGCCTATACAAAAAGCAGGACTTTTTCAACACTGAAGAGAGCTGACAATTGAGCTTCTCCTTGGCTTTCTGAAGAATTTTATTTTGTTTGGTTACTTATGGTTAAGGTTAGGGCTGGGTAGGGGTTAAGGTAGTCATGTTGTGATTAGAGTTTTCCTGAAAGAGATGAATGGCAAGTCCCCACAAAGACAGAAATACAAAACTGTGTGTGTTTTTGTGTGTTAGTGTGTGTTTGTAATGGGCCTATAGGGAGGGTTTATGGTTCAAAGCCGTCTGTTCATAGTTCCCAGTACACAATTTTCACATCCAGGTAAAAAAAGCAGAACTTCTGCCCCTATGAATAAGCACCCTTTGGTTTTGTAATTCTTGGGCTTAGAGCAGAATTGAATACAGCCGGAAAAGAAAATGGTGACACACAATGAACAGAGAGCTTCTCCTTGGCTGGTCTGACACATGCCTTCATTAAACTTGTTGATTGCATGCATTAGCGTGTGTATGTATGTATGTATGTACGTATGTATGTACGTATGTATGTATGTCTTGGGGAATCTATGTTCAAATGGTTCCCAATACATGTTTTCCACATCCAGGTGTAAATGCAGAACTCCCTTTTCTATGAATTGTGACTTTTTTGTGATGTGGTTTCATACTATGTATTTCAGCACTGAATACAGCTAACAAACATGAACGTAACATTAACAGATGAAAGAAGTCTCACTCACATTCATTCATTCATTCATTCAGTATGAACGTGACGACTGAAAAACTGCAAACAACAGCACATTTTGCATCTGAGCCGGTGATTAAGTCCATGGGGACAGATTCTCCTGTTATACCATCAACAGGCACTTAATAAAAATAAGGGTCAAACATAATATCTATTGATGATGCGCAAACAAAAAGCAGACAGCAGGTTTGAAAGCATACATGATGGCAGTCCTGAACGAGTGGAGAAGCTTCACAGTCATAAAACTACAGTTGAGCAGTTCCCAGACTCCTAGTTCCTCTCATATCGGGACATATGTAGATTGATGGGCATAAATTAAGCCCATCAGTCAACCTGTAATAATTAAAACTGGCCAATACAACCCGCTGGACTCCGCTAAATGGGTGGAGCCCTCACCCCCCCCCCCCCCCCCCCCCCCCCTTCCCCCCTCCTCCAATGTTCAACAGAAAGTCACTCCCTTGGGTAGACTGCTTTCCAAAAAATATTTTGTGGACAATTTATAATTTCTCTTTTTAAATTAATTTCTTTAAAAATACTGTGGGCTCATGGCAACTGCAGGTTACAATGTCATTATGATTGAAAAGTACAGCTTTAAATTTTGGTGGATTGCAGCTGTTGTTTGGCAGCTATCATCAATCATAACCAAATTTATACAATTTTCTGTGTATTTGCATTGTAATGATTATGCTACATGTCCTTTTTTTGCAACTAGCAATACATGCACACTAAACATAAGGATCCCCTGATATTTTAGGAAGGATGCATGATGTAGTACGAAAAGTGTTTTTAAGAGTAGGCCTACTGTGTATTTAGAGTATACTTCAATATGCCAGTAGGGTCTTGACTTTGATCAATGGATCAATGGCTATTTGATATTAAGTCAGACATGTTGTCGAATGGAATTCTATCTTAACAAAATGTGTCGAGATATGAGACGAGAAATCACTGATCAGCATAAGAACTGTGAGTGAACCTGATGCAGAATTAAAGCCAATACAGAAAAAGCTTTTACTCTTCAGAATTTGAATTGCGCTGGGCTGGCAATAACAAGGTATTACTATATCATTCGGTGTCAACATATTCTCAAATTTTCAACAGAACAAGCGAATCATTTTGCAAAGCAGGTTATTTGATAGGCTGAGCCTGAAAGGTAGGCTACCTTAAATATTAATATAAATAAAGGGGATGACAACCGCGCGCAAAAGTCTAGCAGAGAAAAGTGACATACAGAATTAAAGTAAATGTTCAGTGGTAAGAAGTATTGAAAGGATTTTTTTGTCGAGTAGCAAAAATGATGTCGCAGTGAAGCAAGTGAGCAGTGCAATGAACACAACATGTATGTCAATATTAACTGTCCAGAACCAAATTATGAACTATTCCAACAATTTATGAACCCAAATATCACAATTATAATTACGACCTTGAATAATTCCACTGTCTGAAAAAAAGTCTACAAACTCAGATCACATTGTATTGACCAAGAGGAGTAGTACTTTTCGAAGGTTCATATGATTATAATGAGAATTCTGATAATGCGAATTACTTTCATGGAACTCAGCAAAACGATATACGATCATAAAAAAAAGTTTTAAACTTTGGATAATTAAGGGGCAATTTTATGGGTATTATAGACACCTTACGAATAAAAACCAAATATTGTCAAAACTCACCTTAGCATTTCTAGATGAATATGGGTCTTCAAAGAGTTCCCAAATTATGGGTTGATTCACGCTCCACCAACTCTCCTCTTTCTCTTGCATGCAAAGTCTCTTCAGATCCTCTCCTTCTTCGCCTCCTAACGCAGGGTCTTCTTCTTTGGGAGGATCACCTTCTGGACCATCAAAACCTCCCCCCATTGCCTCCTCCGCATCCCTGTGTTGGGTATAGAGCGACCAGCAACATGTCTCAAAGTCCAGTTCGTCGATCCCCCAAAACGCCAATTCCTCTTCAAACATAGGACCGCATACATTGCTGGGACAGTGCAACTTTCCGGTCCGGTAATAGTTTAGGATGAAGGCAAATACCAACGGGTGGCGATCAAAGAAGAACTCGTCAGTTTGGGGGTCATAGTCGAAGTTACTAAAAGCATCCGGTTCGGTAAGCCAGTATAAACGTGTACCGGGTATTGTCTTTAGTGTACTGCGATAGGTTTCGTGGCGCACCCCCCCGCAGTTTATGACAATTCTCTCGATGTCTGAAGGGCAAGTCATGTCTGCACTGTAGCATACTTTGTTGGACAACTTGTTCCCACTCTTGTGCCCTTTGAAAGAGGAGACACACACCGAACTTAGCATAGAGGATCGAGGGGAGGGAAAAGAAGAGAGAGAGAAAGGATGGAGGAGGGAGGAGGAGGAGTCTGTGGAGAGAAAGGAAGGGAAAATTATAAAAAGAATACATTCTTTTTTAGATAACAGAGTAGCCTACCTATCCCTCATTATCAGTATTACGAACCTCTCATTCTGGCATGGACATGTATTTCCAATCAATGAAATTCAGGTTTATTTGAGCAAAAATATCACAGCAGTGATACAGAGTAACTGTTCTTTTCTTATTTAATGAAAAACAAAAATGGGGATTAACAATACAATATTACTAAGATTTCAGTGTCTAAAAGAAAAGTAACTTGATATACACCAGTCAAAAAGACAACATTGCACATTAATAGCATTATTAGGTAGACAAAACCTTATCTGACAGCTGAATGAGAAATTGCATAGAGGCCAATAAGGCATTGGGTTGAGTCAGCTTTGCACTGGATGTCACTGAGCACCAAGCCACCAAACCATTACGTTTTTGCGTAACAGCTAGATATTTGTTTGAGATACTAAAGTACAATTCATCATCACCTGGATAATTCTATAATTCCTCTCCTCATAACTCAAAATGACTTGGTGCCCATCAGTTCATTAAAAAACTAAAAGTGAGACATATTAATGTATTCCAACCGCCAAAGCCGTCCCCATTGTTTTTTTGTGTTTTTTTTTTTTTTTTTTATATCTCTCCAGCCTCTGCTTGCCCATCCTACGGGAGCGAGAGACAGGGAGATGATAGGATAGAGGCAGGTGATCATTTGCTGAGCTCCGCAATATGGGAAGACGAACCTTCAACTCCAGTCAATTTAGCACAAGTTTAATTATTGTTAGTGTTTATTGGGGTTCCTTCAGGACGGTATTAACCTTTCCGGAAAGGGTGTCTGTGTCAGACAGAGAGTGAGTCGCGCCAGCTGATCAGCTGCATGTGTCATTTGTTTCTATTTTGTTTATATGTAGACAGATTCTGTCTTCAATATTTGCCAGTCAGCAGCTAGCGCTAATCCTTTAAGGTAACTTTAAATGCTGATAGAAGAGGTGAGGGACAAAGGGTCCAAGAGCAGCGCTTCGGGAGATGAAAAGAGAGAAATGATAGATGGCAAATGTTTAAAGTACATTAAAAAGGCAATAAAGGCAAATAGATGAAGATAATCAGAAATGCAGGCATTTGCACGTGCAGTGCAGTGACCGTATTAATATATTGGTATATACTGTACATTCCTTCATTTTTCATAGGTTCTCCTGAGCTCCTGTTTGGAAGCTTTTATGGCTTGTCACACATATGAAAAGTGTCTCCTTCATCCTTTCTCTCTCTCTCCCTCTGAACTGGTTTTCAGTCTCCCCCTCTCTCACGTTCCGCATTAGGGAATCGCATTTCACTGAACGAATCAACTCTCACTCCTTCTCTCGTCCTGTTCTGTCGTTTCACTCATTATTGCCTGCCTCATTTTATCTCCTTCCACCTGTCTCTCTGTCCGTCCGTCTGTCTTTCTCTTTATCCTTACACCGGTGGGTCTTTGTCCTCATTTTCTTTATTTATGATTTGCCTCTGTGCCTTTACCCTTGAGTTTGTCTATGCGCCATGTTTTTATGACTTAATCCTCATGCTTTATTTCCCCCCCCACAGTGTTATCAGCCCTCTTCTTCTGAACTTTGCTGTTCTTCTTCCTTCCCTTCCTGTGTCCCTTATGCGCTCCACTTTTTCATAAGCCGTTTTGCTTCTGTGTATTTATATGCACATATCTCCATTTCCTCATCGCCCCTTTCTCTCTTTTCATAAACAACCACCATCCTCTATAACGTCTTTTTTTCTTCTTTCATCCCTATAAAAAGGGTCTTGAGCAGCATTATACTCATTAAAGCATTTCAGCAGGACGTATTTGCTGTTTTGCAATGATCCATGAATTCCACGGTGTTTCACAATATATAAAGAAAATAGTGTATCTGAAGAATGGCGACTAATGAACACTGACTAAGGTAAGGTACACAGCTTACAGAAAAAGAGGTTAAGTTATATGGCTACATTGTTGTTGGGGCAATGTAGCATTGTCACTGAGAATAGGGACAGAATGATGAATTTGAACAATAGTTCTCATTTAATGTTTATTAAGTTGAGGATATATTTAAAAGCTAAAATAATGTCTTCAAATAAGTAGATTGCATTTCCTAGGGACCTCTAGAAGTTAAAATAATCTAAGGAAGAAACTACTAAGCATAACCTGAGTTGAGTCTATAGTGATAGATATACGCAAAAAAATGTACGTATAATAATGAAAACAAGACCGCGAGGGAATTATATGAAGGAAAATGTTTTGAACATAGCTAAAGCTGTATTTCTGTGCTCGTTACCTCTTAAAGTGTTAAATTGTGATGTACTACGGGTAACGTTTTAGGTCTAGTGGCAAAAATTGTTCCAATTTTTAGAGATTGCAGAACGTCATTCCAGTTACTCCAGCTACTTATTTAATCGTCCAATGTATAATATTTGTATCATTCTTTCATTGTTTATAAACATTATTGCCAGTATTTCTGTAATCATTTTTAAAGCTTAATGCCAAAAATGCTAGACGTTTCCACAATTTTGGCCACCAGTGTAGCCGATAATGCCCATTATATAGGCATCACAAGACACGTACAACCGACACCTATTTAAAAATATTCGATATGAATTGTATGACTCGTTAGTGAATAATCGTTTTAAGAATTTTACTCAAAACAATTGCTTAAGATTACATACTTATCACTCTAACTCACTGACTTGTTTAACTTTTGAACAGTGAAGTCGACGGAATTTTGCAGGAATGCTGGCAACACTGAGATTTAAAAAAAAAGAAATAATTCGCAAGCAAGTTTTGACTGGGTATGGTGGGTGGTCATGTAGGCTATGTTCAGCTATGTTAGTTTCAGTATGATGACTGGAAGCATTGATGGTTCTAGATTGTATGGTGCCCTGGGTGAACATCCCCCCCACCCCCACTCCCCCGCCGACAAAAACTGTGGATTTATCTCCCAGCCCCCAAAAATACCAATCGGCACTATCATTTTTATTAAAACATTTGGAACGATACAAATAGATAATAATAGATTTAAAACTGATTTTATTAATAGCATTAGTAATACTGTATAAAGTTATAGGCGCGTTATTTGATAGATTCCCCCGCGCTCAGGCTGCACCCCTAAACCTCCTCCCCGTCTCGTACTTCTGAGCAGCAGCCTGTCCAGTTTATAAACTAGATTCAAGCGCCCGCTCCGACAAAGTTAATTGACCCACACGGTGGGTGACCTGATACCATTGACGTGACGTGCAAATGAACAAAACAGATAGCGCAAATTAACAACTGAGTTTTTTTTGTGTGTGTGTGTGTGGGCGCCCCTTGCCTTCACCGGCAAGATGTGGCCTTGGCGGGCTGCCCATGCGGCCCAGTTACTAGAAGAATTGAATATTGTACATTTCATATACAGTTAATGCCATGAGCTTGTATATAACTCTGTTTTCAATTAATGATTTACAGGACATATTCAATTACTGTCGTCAATACTGTGATTGAATAATGGCAGAGAGGGGTAATAGAGGCAGTGTAAATAAAGGACTACAGAGGCAAAGAGGGCTAGTTTAAGAAAGGTGAATGGGATTGGAGGGAGAAAGAGCGATCTATGAGGCTTCATTTCATACTGGGTCAAACCAATGAACTGAACTGGAAACCTAAGGCAGACACTGGAAGATGACAACAATATCAGCTGTGCAACCGTTAGTACTGAAACCACCCAATGGCAATGGAGACAGACAGACAGAGGAAATGAGAGACTTTTTTAACATTAGGGAATTTAGGTAACTGTGAGGAAGGAAGTGGATGTGGAGAATGAGACAGTAATACAGTGGATTTACCTAGAAATTGACCAGTATTGGTCTGATTAGTAGGAAAAGGATCAAGGAAGGGGAGAACATTTGCAGAGGGGGATTTAGGTGTGAGACAAACCACTGCATATTTATAGGAGGGGGGGCAACTTTAAGGAAGAAAGTAACTCAAAGTCGTGGTGATGAATAAAAAGGAGTGAAAAGGGGGTGAGGCAATGGGGGGGTTACATAGCTGTGCAGGACCAGAGAAAGCTATGGGGCGTGGCGTTTCTGAGTGTATTGTACGCAAGCTCACCCTCTTTCATTTTTCCTTTTTTTGCCATTAAGGTGCCCCCCCCCCAAAAAAAAGAAAAAAAAAAACTCTCATGCACACACTACAGAGGAGACACCCACAGGACAAACATAAGTACTGCAGTCTGCCCCAGTCCACAGAGCTGCGCAGCCTGTCTGTCTTTGTGTCACAACGTCCACATTGACAGAGCTGCCCATGCCAGGTAAATCACTGGCCGGCTGAATTAACAACATTAGCCACCCGTCACTATAATGACCCACAATACTGACTAATGCAGCACATACACTGTATACTCCTTCTTTTCTCTAAATAGTATAATTTAGTCTTTAGAATTAAAAGGCTACGTGGTGTCCTTTTCAACTGTCCCCAATGCTAAACAGTACAAAGTCAGATTGAATAAAGACAATAAACCATCGAATATGTTAGAAGGGGTGGGGCACACTAAAATTACAAACTCGAATGACACAAAGTTATTAAAACTGTACTGAAAAGGGGCCGAGTTTGTCTAGATTTAATAATTCACCTCGTCCATCATGTGGAAATACAGGGTAAATGGAGAGGAAGAGAGATGCCTATCAGACAATGACTTAAACTTAGACAAATTTCTTCAGGTTGGGAAACTGAATTACTGTGGGGTAAACACAAGGGTGTAGGTCTGGTTTGAGTATAGGTAGGGACCAAATTAGCCCCCATCTCACAGTACTCCTAAACTCACAGACACAAACACACACTTTAAAATGGCTAGTCATTGAATACCCAAAGATATTGAGAATTTCAACCCTATCAAAATAACTAGACAACAGAACTGCCAAAAAACTGTTTAGTCAAAAAATAGGTTTTCAAAATACATATATCCTCCTGAGACCCAAGGAAGAAAGTGTCCTTAAATTTTAGGTTTTATGTTTTTGGAGGAAATAAGACATCTTACAATTTAGATTTTTTCAAATTTATTTTTATTTTTAATTTCAACAACAGGAATAAATATGTTTCCTTACATCAGTGAAAAGATAGATGCAAAAACAAAATGTCCACTACAATGGACATAAATGAATAGGTGGGGTCTCATGAGGATATTGTAAAAATGTACAACAACAAAATTATCGAAGTCGTAAAATCCCGACAAATTAGCTACATAATTTGCTGCTAGTGAAGTGAATGTTAAATGTAGAAGAAAAGTAAGCTTGCTTGTCACCATATGCTCAGCACACTGCATGATCACAAAAGATTAACTACTGAAACTGTGGCAAGTGAACAAACTGTACCAAATGTAATCATCTAAAATTCTCGTGTTGTGCGCTGATGTTCAACAAATCAAACCATACTGGTGTTCACTCACTGCATGCTCCCAGTCACCACTGAGTGTCACAAACCTCGAGCGAACCTACACATACGTCTCAATTTTTTAGTTTCCTTCCCTCTTCTCCATGAAATTTAAAGACAATGCACTAGTGAGACAGATGAGGAAGGAAACTAAACACTATTGGCATGTACCCTTCATTTCACACAACAAATGTGTGCAGAAGGAAACATTTTGCATTTAATTTTACTCTGAGGAGCTTCATGTGGAAAAGTTTGGAGCTAAAAATACTGGTAGGGACAGTTCAGTACTGCCACAATATTGATAAGGACATGTTCATCCCTACCATCCATACCCAAATCTATGCTCTTGGTTGAACAGGGCATTAGCTGTGAATTGGAGACATAGCAGTTTATCAAGCTGCTGCTGCAGTTATACCAAACATTTCCTACACGCCGTCCAGAAGCTCAATAAGTCACGTGCACCTTCTCAGCTGCCTCTGTTCAGGGGGCTCCCACTTGAGGAGGAAGATGAGCACACCAAATATTTGTTTATTTTTAACTTAACAGACACTTTTATCCAAAACAATGTATGATTCAGCCGGTCCTTTACTCTATATTTTACCTCATATTTTACCTCAGCTACCACCTTTTTAATAAAAACATTTAGCGATTTGTATATTTGTCTCCTATTTTTGTATACATTTCGTACCCCCGGTCGGCAAATTTTATCGTGGGGACCTCCCCTCCAGTCAGCAATTTTAAGGTGGGGACCACTCTCTGCTAGCAAATTTAATTGTGGGGGACACTGTGATGGTGTTCTGTATTTTTTTCTGGGGGCTGAGCTATCAAAGGATTAAATCGTAGAATCGCCCATAGGTCAGCCAGTCCCTACAGAAATTGAGGTTTAGGGCCTCGTCCAAGGGTACAATGACGGCACCACTCTGCCAACCACAGGATGTGAACTGATGACCTTCTGATCATAAGCACAAGTCCCAACCCACAGAGACACACACAGTTCCCAGTCAGCTATAGCAGAAACACCTCATTTTTGGATGGGGAGACGAATGGCCTCCAGTATATCCAGCAGTGCCCCATTTAAATGGCTAAAGGGAGTTAGCTGTTCAATCAGAGCTCTAACAATGTGAAACCTGGGTGATCCAGGGGCACTGATGAGTACCACATTCAAAGACCCCCACATTCCAGAATGCTGAGGCCAGACGAGACAACAGAGGCTCGTAGACACACAGTCCAGATGGATAAAAAGCTGAGAGTGAAGCACACTGAATATAATTATAAGGAGAGAAGCAATTTGAGTGGTATCATATCAGTGAGAAGCTTCAGGGACCTGCATAGGCTTTTCATATCTAGAGCTGACAGTATTCTTAGCTTTAACCCCTATACAGCTCACCGTCCTTCTTGGTTCTTTCATTAGAATCCTAATTAGCAAAACTGGCCATTATGGTTAATCACAACCTCTTTATAGTTCTCTATTAAATGTATAGGGAATACAGAAAAAGGCAAAGATTTCGAGAGATATTATTTTGTGGTGGCAGGTAAGCGTCTGAGCAATGAAGGCTGGCTGCACACAGGAAAGATAAGAGTATGACAGTGAGAAAAGGAGTTCGATATGAGCGAAAAGGCAGACAGCGTGCACAGGCAGGGCAGCTGATGGGCAGAAAGGCAGAGTCAGTCTAAACAAAGGGATACGAAGGCTGGCTGAAAAAGCAGAGGGGTTAAAGGACTCTGTAGAGGAGGTCGATGTGAACCCAAGTTCTGTGCAATATCTGCACGAATATTAATGTCAAGCACAGTATATAGTTACAGGTGTCATGGTATAAGTTTAGAAAATATCAACAGCATGTGCGTGTTAGGGTGTGTTAGGCACATATAGACACCATTCCAAAGGTTTGTTTATGTCTGTTTGATAGGGAAATCGATAGGGACTTTCCGTGTCCTGGAATGAAATTAGTTTTTTTCCAGGACAGCTGACCAAAATCTGGGATGGTGCCAGAAAATCCTGGGCAGGTGGCCACACTCGTATGTAGAAATGGCTAATGAGCAGCTACGTAACATTTAACGTGCTGAATATGTCATTATTGTAATCTATCCACACATATGAACATTAGAAACTGTGTGCAAATACATTTGAGAGAACATTATATAAATAATCAGGACTGAGCATGTATGCAACAGGGAATTAACCTCCACTATTATCAAAGGAGAGAACTTTCGAGTCAGGACCATGTTATTGAGCATACCGAAGGATGCAGATTAAGAAAATATTAAAATATTTAAACGGTTTAATAGTTACAGTTTAAATACTGATGATGCGATCAGGCACAGAGTACCATGCGACTGAGACTGGGTTGCTGACACATTCGTATTGGCCACATAATTGGAAACCTCCCCGCAACAACACACACAGCTAGCTGATTTTAAGTTCAGCATTAAGCAGTAGCTCCTTTAATCACACTTTTATTTTTAGCGTCATTTTTTCATCCCTACTACAGCAGAAACAAACTTCGGTCTCGTCCTTTAACTATACGGTCCGGTTCCCTTTCATTTGGCTTACTGCTGTCCACCGCAACATTTCCACTATGATGTACCAAGCCTTTATCATGGATAGACTAGTGGGGATTTGAGTAAATTACAGTGCTGTGTGCATGACAGCCTACCGTGCAACATAATAGCGCAACATATAGAAGAACTTACATTTCGAAATGGTCTGCTAAATATATAAAATAACTTAAGTTAGTATTGCAATTATGTACACCTTTAAGTTTACAAATTAAGAATAACATTGTGTTGATTCTCTTTATTAGGGATAAGGATGAAAAGGGAATACAAGTACGCAGGCCACACAAAAATAAACGCATACAAACTAGAAGAACATAAAGTTATAGAAAAACGAAACAAATAATTTGAGGAGTGGCTTTGATGCACGTGTAGGATCCACATTTATTCCGACAGAGGGACACAACAGGTTTGTTTGACCACCTGTACACCAAAGAGCCACTTCACAAGACACACACATACACCTATTGAATACTTACTTGCTTTGGGTCGAGCTCGGTTCGTGTACAATGTGTGTGTATGCCGGCACACGCACATCAGCACACAAACGCTAACAAAAGGTTGCTTTTTTTTGGTTTGTGCGATCGAAGGGACTATATTTTCCAGTTTTTTCTTCGCTCTCTGCAGTACGCGTCTCTTTTCCGAGACAGCAGGAATAAAACCCAGTAAGATCTAAGCAAGATGTTACAACAGTAACGGAGATTGCGACGTTTTTAAAGCCGTGCACAGCTTGTCTATAGTAGCGGCAATAATAATTTTGCTTCTTTTTACTGTAGCCACCGGCGGCTGTATCCCTCTATCTGAAATACTGCGAATCTTTATGAGAAAAAAGTGCATCTCCCTCCCAATCACTGCACATGTTCATTCCTCTAAAAATATTTTCTCTGCCACCCTCAAATCAAACCAAAGCGGCATGAACAGAGTCTATAGCCACTCTTTTTGCGCCTTTCCAACGGGTGCACACGTTTCTGTTTGTTTTCGCTCTCTCTCTTCTTATGAGAGCATCCCTTCTTCTTTATCTTCTTATTTATAGAGTCCAAATTAACGATACTGTGTATGACACTGAGACTATTTTGATAGTGTATATTGCAAAAGTACACGCAACAAGCACGCCCGTGTCTATATGCTAACTGAAGCCCAAATTAGATTTTAATGAAATATCGCATATACAGCGCATCTTGCTGTTCGCCTGTCGCCTTTAGATGTGTATTAAATGGGATTCCCGTGCGATCGGTTGCCAATGTAGTGCAGAGATTCTCTCTCTTTTGCTTTAAAGGTAAAGTTGTCACTTGCCGAATTCCCTCCTCCCCTATCCCCCGCCTTGTGTCTGATTTATTTTAATTTTGCTAGATACTAACACGAATCATGTTTCCGTTCATATAAAAATTCGAATTGAGACCATTTATTTTTACAAGCACGTTTTCATAAAAAGAATAGTTACATCCTACTAATCCAATCATTTGCAACACCTCCTGCTTGCCTTCATGTTAGTTTGATTTGAGATATTCGTGTTACAAGTCGGTTGTAAAAAAAGTAGGATTTGTATTGATTTATTGGCTGATCAAATTAGTCAGCGCATCCGTAACAACCGCCATCTAAGGATGCCGTCTGTTTTTCTTTGTTCTACTCTTTGTGCGTTTCATTATCATGCCAGTTTTAGTCAAATGACAGGTCAAAATTGTCATTTACCAAGTCTTCCTGTATGTCCAAAATATGTATGTCTTATGACTTGCCTTATATGAAATGATGTTCATGGCACATTGAAATTCACGCAGTCAGCTGTCATGAGTTCTGTAAAAGCTAAAACATTTTAATTTTGTTTATTGATGACTATAAGTAATACGTCTTAAGTAATACCTGTGGTATAGTTGTCATCTTGATGATAAAAAATACTGGAACTTTCTGTTGTTTTCTTAATGGTAAAGTGTTATTAATAAAAACCAAATGTACTTCTATACATCGATTATGCTTTTTTGCTTGGTTGTTCAGTTATTGTGTAAATGATTTCCATTGTATTCTTGTGAATTTCGGTGCACAATGTGCATTTATGCTGTAAATTATCATTAGATAATCAGATGTGAATGTGCTTAAAGGTGATTGCAACCATTGTGGAAACTGGTGACATTTAAATATTAAAATGACAGCCGCAGGCTCATTGTGTTTCTCTCAGTTGTGCCTGTTTTAACAGAAACGCGGCAACATTTCTTTCTTTCTTTCTTTCTATCTATATCTATCCATCCATCCATCCATCCATCCATCCATCCATATCTAATCTAATTTAATCTAATCCGTCCTTGTCCACCTCAGAGTGTTTTTCCTGTGGGACTCCCAGTAAGGTCTGTCTCGAACCCCACTCTAGTGGCTTTCACTTGATCGTGATTCGGCACAGCTGCAGCTAACAGGGCCTCCATCCTCTGCCATGGGAGATCCGCAGCTGGAACTAATTTGTAAGCACACTGGGTACTCAGGTGGAACAATCACTATGAATACTTCATGGTACACTATGAATCTTCACTATGAACCGTATTGAATATTCAGTATTGAAGTTTGCAGTGATTTAAAGGAGGACAGAAAACCTGTCATAATCTAACACAAGGAATACACACAAATAATACACAAATAAAACTTTAATTGCTTTTCAAAAATGGCTTTTTAAAATCCATTTCAGTATTCCTCCTTCAACATTAAACCTCAGTGTTAAAGGGCTGTGAGCCTTGCATTGGTCTCTCTTCCTTCCCTCCTGTCCCCCCCCCCCCCGACTCACCACTCAACGCCAGCAGTGAGCTGAAGCGCCACCCAGTGGCCACTCAGCTAGAGAGGCTGGCCAGCCCCGAACATTCTCTGTTACACCTTCTCCACATCAAACCGATTGTTCTGTTGTTGTACGGTACCTTTTGGCTCTGCTATGGTGTTCATCCGGAGGTCAGGGAGTACAAATAGCTGCAAGTCACACTTCCCTAAGCGATAAGAATATCTGAACTATCTAAAAATAAGTCCTCTGATCAATTCATGCATAATACTGAAGGTAAAATCCATTATATCCGCCATATACATCACAAACTGACAGGGGGCCAGAAACTCCTTTTGGAGACTGTCAAGAAGAATGCCAAAAGAAATATAACACAGGAAATTATATTCTGGGGAAAAGTATATACTAATTTTAACCATGATAAAACCATTATGTGTTAAAACAATCACTGTACTCTAAAATTTAGTAATGTAGCATGAATTGCTTTGACATTTTTACGTTCTGGAAAAAAATAGTTGAATTTAGCAGCAAACTACATAGAAATCACATTATGGCTATGTCACAGCAGGGCTTTGGCAGCAATTAAAGTCCAGACAAAAGACTCCTGCTATCCTATTGTAAGCTGGACATACATTGACTTTTAATGAAGGAACACTGCTGATGTAGACTGCAGAACATATCAGTAATTAGGAGCATTACATGCATGTTTAACTTCCGACACCCCGTCCCTAAATTCCATAGTTGGCATATTCAAAATATCAGCTTTGAAGGAACTTTACCTATAAACAAGGCAGAAGTAAAGCATGTTCTGATACTGGTGGCGTGGCGGCTCAGTGGGTGGCGCTGTTGCCTCATACCTCCGTGGCTGTGTGGGGTCTGCATGTCCTTCCCGCATTGTGTGGGTTTCCTTCAGGTTTCATCCCATAGTCCAGCAACATGCAGTTAGGCTAATTGGTGCCTCTCAATTGCCAATAAAGTATAATTGTGTAAGTGTGCATGTGACCTGTGATGGAACATGGAGGCAATAGTCTTACCTTATGCCGTCTGTTGCCTGGGATTGGTCCAATATACCCTCCATTGCCTGGGATTGGCCCCATATGCCCTCCGTTACTTGGGATTGGCCCCATATGCCCTTCATTGGCTGGGATTGGCCCCATATCCCCTTCGTTGCCTGGGATTGGCCCCATATGACCTCCGTTGCTTGGGATTGGCCCCATATGCCCTTCATTGCCTGGGATTGGCCCCATATGACCTCCGTTGCTTGGGATTGGCCCCATATGCACTTCGTTGCCTGGGATTGGCTCCATATGTCCTTCGTTGCCTGGGACTGGCCTCAAGCCCCCCCTCCATGACCCTTACCCAGATAAGAGGTCAGAATATGGAAAGACATTTGTCTGGGACAAGGTTGGGGGGAGCCTGGAGCACAACCCATGCAGCACTGGGCAAAAGGCAGTGAAAGCCCCTGGCTGAGGTGCCAGTGAGTTTGGTAAGACCTACATGCAGACAAACACCTCACGGCCTAGGGATGCCAGCTCACCCAAGCACATATTTTTGGACTGGAGAAGCAAAGAGGAACAGCCAAAGGAAACCATTGCAGGGAAACGCGCCAAGAGGAAACCAAACCCCAGCCCTGCTGGCGCGAGACCACTGTGCCACCTTCAGTCTATTTATATATAACTTAATATATATATATATATATATCTATAAATAAAAATATATTTACTTTCATCCAATGATCGAGCCCCTGCTGCTGCCCACAACCTGAGCAAAGAAAACACCGCTTTGGTCACTTAACCAAGGTGACCTAAATCAACGTGTTACTTCACTGTAATGCTATTTCCAAGTGGCTTTATTATGCCTGGACTGTAAATAACATCAATACTTCAAGAAGCAGGGGCAGGAAGGAGCAGAGGAATTAGGTATTAACAACTGACCAGAATGACAATGCATTTCAACATTCCCCAGGTGATAACATCCCCTGTTCATGTTCCCTGAATAACCCACATCAACACGCAGGAAACAAGGGTACGAGAAGACAGCAACAAAGATATTTAAAGATCATTTTTAAAATATTTTACGTTTATTTTCTTTTTTATATAAATGAATTTAAATAAATAGATACATACATACGTACAGTTACGGTAACCGACACGCCTCTTGAGACTCCGATTTGGTTTATGCATTAATGTCAATCACTGAGGTACACAGTGCATTTGAGAGTACTCTGAATACACATAGATCAATGGTCCAATAAAATATTTTTTAAAAATAATAATTAAAAGCACTTTACATTAAAAGTCACTAATGCAGGAATGAGGTGATTCACACTTGGCTGACGATGCATCTATTCTGGTTGGAGCAGCACACCGAAGAGTATTCTGAGGTTTCATACGAGTTTTTCTATACAGCGTTCGCTATCACGCAGCTCAGCTGATTGATTATACATAGGAGTTAGCTAGATCTAAAAGGGAATTTCAATTTTCCACTTGATTTTCTGTCAGACCTTGGGCCCATGTGACTGAAGGAGCTGACCAGCTCATGGCATACAGGACTAAACTATCCCCGAGACTCCAAGGACCTGCAAGATAGAGAAACAGGGCATCATAAATGGCGTCTGTCAATACATTTCCTTAATAATGTGAAGGAAACTGGTATATTAAAAGAGCAAAGCGATGACTGTGACATTTTGCTAATGACCTCAGCTTGCACTCAGTGTTGGTGTCAGCAGCACACTGGCAGTTTAGCATACAGACTTGGACGCATCACACTGCAGTTAACACCGGTCCCTCAAGCTGCTCAAAAAACAGGTAAAATGATGAGTTCTTTTCTGTGTAACTGCAGGACTTCGCCTTGCTCCTCACCCAAACACTCATGTGGCTGAAATCCCAAGAAAACACCGTTTAAATCTGAAGCTCCATCTGAAGTCTCTATCTATCTGCTTATTGTGATTATCACGGTATGATTAAAATGTTCAGAAAATGTTCAAAAAGTACTGATACAGAAAACTGCAATAATTTCACCAAGTTTTATATTGAAAACCACAAATATAATTAGCGGCACTACACACGTTTTGTTTGCATAAACATTCAAATAATAACATAGCCAATACCCATGCAAACATATGATAACTATATAATCTCATAAGACTTCAACTATTTTCTGAAGACAAATACAATACAATCCTAATATCAGAAATTGGCATTTTAACTAGTTTAAATTCCAACTCCTATTGAAATAATGAGAAAAAACACGAATAATTTGAATCTCACTAGCTGAAAATCATGAGAAATGACTTCATGATAACCTCTAGAAATTAATTAAAGATTAAACAGCTTGCCATACACCACTGACGTGTAGTGCTCATACAACAGGAGGTGACACTGAAAGCTTGAGTTTACATTATTGACAAACTGTTAGCAAGTTCGACAGACAAACCACGACATTCCTAAATTTCAGTATTGAGCTAAAGTATTCATGTATTGAGCTAAAAGTTAACTTACCTGCATTCAGTATAAAGTAGTGGATGGTGGTCACAAAGATTTAAAACTAAAATACGACCACACTTAGTCCTCTTAAAAGGCTGAAACTATAGATGCTGTAACTGCCTTCTGTCATGTTTTTGCTGACACAAAACAAACCCACTTTGCATGCTGTGCCTGTGTGCTTGGGTCTGGGAGACAGTTGCTACCTTTGATTGAATCTGGAGAACTTGTTCAAAGCCCAGTAATCAACCATGGGTATAATGATAATAAAAAATTGAAATGGTAATACTAAGTGTCAGGAATTTTACTGTGAAACCAGCAACCATTTCATCCCTAGTACAAAGTAAAGATCAATTTGAAGGCCAGATTAAATAGTAAAATAAAAGCATGTCGTGAGCCGTATGAAACTGTCTCATGGGCCGGATGTGGCCTGCAGGCTGGTAGATTGAGACCCCTGGTTTAAATTGACTAGACTGGGTGACTTGGGGTCATTGAAGGCTTGTGTTTCTCCCCTTAAACAGGAAAGACACCTAACATAATGCACTAGACATCTAACAAAAGCTTTTGACATGGGTTTAAAACTGACAACAGTTTAAAACTTTATTAACACACACAGCCTGGTAATCAATACAGATCATGCTTAAGTTCCCACAGTGCTAAAGTTATGCATGGAACTGAAAACAGGGACTAATATTAAATTTAATGGCAATAATCGTGCCACTAAAAATAAATTTATTAAGGTACAATGCAATTTCCTGCATAAGGCAATTAATTGTAGCCTTTAGAAGCACTGTGTGAGCCTGTATTAGATAAGGAATACGAAATGGACGGATGGATGGACAGATGGATGCATACATGCTGCTCCAAAACTCCCAGACTCCATAACAGCAGGTACTTTTGTTCTGTACAACTTTGGAGAATCGCCTAATTAAAAAAAAAAAATCGAGTACAAAATGCATTTTATTCCAAAAAATACTGTTATTATTAAAAACATAAGCAAATCAGCTATCCCTAGCTAATGATGAAGAGCCAGTGTGCACCATTAACAAAAAAAGTACTAAAAGGCAATACTCATTTCTTCAGTTAAATTAAGAAGGCTTCTTAATAAAAAATTAATATAAGCAAATCACACTGCTGTCACAGGATATTACTTTTGTTTCATGAGATGTCAATTCATGTGGCAAATGTCTCTGTAGAATACAGGGAAAACAGGATGTCAGAGAACACACTCAAAATCACACATTATGGGCAATCAGAGAAAAAAAATCAGAAAACCACATTTAAGACCATGGGAGGGGGAGGAAACCAGAATCCCCAAGGGGACGCACCACAAACACAGCAAGATCACAAGGCCCCCTCAGCCCTGCAACTATGAGCCTACATTGCTAACCACTAAGCCACCATATCTGTGTATTTTGAAACACCTTACTTTTAATGGGTGTCTAGTTTGTGTGCAGTCTGTAATTGTTATTATTGTACATACATATCAGGAATAAATCATTTTTATTCCCCTCTTGGCATTGATGTAACTGAACTATCGATTTTACAGTTAATGTACACACCACTAATTGATATTATACTAATATAAGAATAATAATTTTGTCATTAAATTATAAAGTATGCCATTAACTTTAATATTAGCCCCAAAACTATTTTCTATTTAATTTCGCACCACCTTGCAGCCCAGCACTGATTATTTGTGAATTGGTTGCTTAGTGAAAATAAATTTGTGGTTTACTATAAAACTTCATGTAAATGAAACAACTGTGTGAATAAAGTGTGAATGAAACAAGTCTTTGACCACACTGGCATCCGCAGTGTATGTATGATGTCAGAGCAATATGACAGGGGCCGGTGGCCATTCAAGGGCCTGCAGGTATGTACACAAAAAAAACTGCAATGATGCACTCTGCAGTCCCTCTAGTGCCATCCTTGGCTGTGGGCATCTCCACTTTGCTACCAGCATTTTGTGAGCACTGACTCCTACACCATCAATAAGTCAGCTTCTGTGACATAGTTCCACACTTAAGTCTCTGATTCATTGCAGTCAACAGTGCAAAGTGATTCTGTACATGCATCACCTTGATTTAAAATCTGCTAAACACAAGCAGGCTTTTAAAAACCATATCTTTCCATATGTATCTGCAGTAAAAATAAAGTCTCAATCTAAACAGTAAACACATAGCACAATAAAATATATTGAAGTTATTGCCATGCAGTACCCATTGCAAAGCATTCCAGAAGGCTACATTCCAAAAGACATAAAAGGGAGTACAGTGGTCATTGGAGAATTCAATTTGACTAAACTATTAATGTTTACTGGTCACCATTATAACAGGATGGCAGTAAAGTATATTAAAATAAAGAAGTATTAAACTGTCCTCGTACTGTCCTTTCTTGAACATTTATTTAAGGTTTATAAAGGCGGTGGTGTAGAGCTTGGGGGGTTAGGGTACTGTGCATGTGGCAAGAAGGTCACCGGTTCACATTTTATGGTCAACAGAGTGATGTTACTCTTGGGACCTTGAGCAAGGCCCCTCCCCCCCCCCCCCCACTGCTTGAAGGACTGGCCGACCCTGTTTACTCAAACAAGGAAATGTCACTTTGGATAAAAGTGCTAAAAAAAAATCTACGTTATATGGCACTTTCTGGTCCTCCTAACAAATAATCCCAGTGGTGCATATCCAATATGGCCAGTTTTTACTTATATTGTTTGATATGGGGGAAAATTCTTCATTATACATTGCTTTAATGCATTTCATGACTTTAGAACTTGGTCATCTTGTAACCTTCTTGAAAGGAACTTAATGGGTGTGTTGGTGTTTAGTTGGTGGTTTTTGTATTTTGGCCAACCTGAGTTATTCAGTTAAGTAAAAGTTCAGTGAACTGTCTAAGAGTTAAACAGTTTTTCTACACACGTGTTTGCATTTAGACAAGTGCCATACAATTAAAAAAAAAGTTCATACTTAATGTTTTAAATACACAGCTCCAGCTCTTACACAATGAAATTATTGTAACAAGTCTGAAAACAGGATTCCCAGTCAATTTATCCTGACTAGCACTCACATAAAAAGTTAAAAAAAAATTTTTTAAATACATATTAATATGAAATCGTTTTTTTCGATTACTGCTAAATGCTAGCTATCCATCAGTGAGCATATTATACTAGCCTATTTCTAGAGGCAAATAATGACTTTCCCACAAATATTTATGACTTTATGCTAAAAGAGCATCCAAACGTTTCAGCTTTAAAAATATAACAGCCAGACCATAACAATCTGTTGTGTACAAATTATTTTTTTTGTAACACGCAAGCTGGTTTTGGATGCCTGACTTTCAACATAACCGGAAAAGAAGATGGAAGGAGATGATCCTTACTAAGCACTACACACCGATCAAGCAATTATTGAATCCTGTGATCCTGTGTGTAAAAACATTCCCATGGGATCATACCACGCATGTAATAAAGTGATCTATTAACGCAGTGCTGGGAACCGCAAGGACGCTCGGCAATGGGAAGTCTGAACGTCTTAAGGCCCAAAGCACACGCCAAAGGGAATAACTCTCTCTACAGAAACCACTTCTTCTCTAATCTGTCTGAAACACCTCATTGGAATTCCAGCCCTTACTTCCTTACACTGTAACACAATCCTTACTGGCTGCCTACCTGCAAGACAGGGCAGGAACGTGTTGGGCAAGCTGACCAATCAGGCAAGCTGACCAATCAGACCATTCTGGGCTCATCAGGGGTGGGGTTTAACGCTCTCACAGAACATTTCAGACAGAGTTATAGACAGAGTGACGAGAGATGTACAGTATGAGGAGAAATAATGTGTTTTTGGAACACTAACGCATGTAAATCTATTCTAGCAGAATACAAAAATAAAACTATGAACCCTGAAAATGACTTTAATAGGGCCCCTTTAACTTGCCACTTATTAGATACTGACGTGTAGCTGGTGTGCTGTTGGCGTCTGCGAGCGCTCCTCATCTTTTCGAACCGGGCCTCCATCTCCTCCAGCACCTTCGGAGTATAGCGCACCACCAGCTTCACTGAACCCTGGGCAGCCTTCAACAGCTCCACTGCTTTCTCGTGGTGCTCGCCCTCGACACTCTGCGAACATACAAGTTACCACAGGAGGGCGCCACCGTGTACACGGGGAGGCCAACACTGTTCCAAACACTTTCTCAGTCATATAGTTAATTCAACAACATTTCATACTAAAAGTCTTAAGCAGTTGTTATGACAGGTTCACACGGGATGTTTCACAATAAGCAAGTTGTCTCTCACCACCCCGTTGACGGACAGGAGCTGGTCACCCCTTTTGAGTCCCCCCTGCCGGTCTGCGACTCCCCCAGGGATGACTCTAGAGATGTAGATTGGAGAGTTCTGTTCTTTACCCCCCATTATGTTGAACCCAAGTCCCTCTTCAGTTTTGGGCAGCTCCACGACCCGGGGATGGGCGTGCCCTTCGCTGGCCGCAAAAGCTGCTACGGTGGCCTGTTGGAAGAGAGGCTTGCGTCAATATGGTCGCTTCAGAAGCCACGGGGACCACAAGGTTCACGCTGCTTTGATGTAGCTATTGGTTGTCTTTCTGCTCACTCACATGTAACTCTATTATATTTACATAATATATGTACTGTGCATTATAATTAATAAAACTACATTTTTTAGCTTACATTAAATAAACAAAAGTTTCAAAAGCCTCCACTGAGCAAAGTTGAAATTAGCTGAAAAGTAATGCTGAGACACAATTAATTGCATGCTGCTGCACCTGGAAGATTGTGGGTTTGAGTCCCACCCAGGTTTTGTGTATGGAGTTTGCATATTATTTCTGTAGGTTTCCTATTCAAACTTGGGTTTCCTTCAATACTCCAGATGCATCCAATTAGACTCCCTGGCATCTAGAAAGTGCTTATAGTGTATGACTGCATATGCCAAGTGATGGGCACGCGTCCTGTCTAGGGTGCTCCCCTGGGAAAGGTTCCAGACTCGAAAAGGTTCCAGACTCAAACACTAGATAAGGAAAATGCGTATATTGCGTATACTCTCTTCATACTGGGATGACAGTTACAAAGCAACATCATTGCAGAGTAAGCAGTTAACACAGTGTTACTGGACACCTTGGCAGTAGCTTGGGCTCGGACTTCAGGTCCTCCTGCAATGTCTAGGGTGTCATACAGCTGCTCATAAACCTGCAGGGGAAAAAAAACACAGTGTCCAGCTCTCAATAAAGTATAAACACAGAATAAACTGAAAAGACATTACAGTCATTGTGAGCAGGCAGACACCCAACCCAAACGCAATGCCACAGCACACAGATATTTCACAGACCAGTGTTACTGCATTTAAGTTAATTTACTGGGCAGACGCTTTTGTCCAAAGTGACGTACAAGCAAGGCAGATAGGATCTTTATGCATGGAATGTACTAACAATAAAACAATGATCTGGCGCTTTGCTTTGCAATCTTTTGTTTCTTCACAGCTCTCAGATACCAGTGCGATGCTGTGCATGACAATTGTTAAAATATACTACGTTTCTAGAGTTTGTGGTGCATCCTGGTAATTTTATCTGTAGACTATGGAAAATGGGATGAGATGCACTGAATGTACAGAATGATTTCATACAAACATTACCAGATATTCAAGATTTACAAACAATATTTTTTTCATTAATTGCACTAGGGATGCACCAATTACATTTTTTGATCATCGTTTTTAGCCTCTTTGGAAAATGATGGATCAGTGGGTTAATTATGATTCAAAAACATGTTACTCTAAAACCTCTAAAACAGTGGTTCATAAATGTTTTATATCACATACCACCTCAAGACAGTATTATATTCTCTGCACATCACCATCAGGCTAACGTCATTGAGCCTGATCGATAATGGGTAAGCACTTCTGTTATTTTCACTGTACGACGTTTATGGTTTGACATTTCCTCTCTCCATGTTAGTTTGGTGCCTGTTTTGTTGTTCTAAAGTGTTGCTGTTCGTGGCAATTCTGTCATACTCTTTGTTATGTCTAGTTAAATTAGATAACAGTATTATAATAGTGTTGAATGAATCTGATTTCATACTTCCCTTTGACAGTTGATAGGTTAGTAGAGCACAGTTCGCAGTCCACTATGCTTTGGATTTCGTTGTTACCTTTGAAGTATTTCCACACTACAGATATTTTCTCCCATTTATTTTTTCTCGTTAATGATATCGATGATACAGTATTGTGTAATATCGGTTACAGGCACATTGTCGCGTGGGTGAGCACGAGGACACAAGCATGGTATGGGTGCCTCCCTAAATTGCTTTTAAATAGATTCTGTTCAATAGTTATACATCGATAGATGCTCTAATATACTGCAGAATACAATGTATAATACCTATTCATGTTTTTTCATGCAAATCCAAAATCATTTTTGAACATTAATAAAATATTTGATTTGGTCCTAATAATGGCCACAGAAATTAGACCTAATTTGTACTTTCTGGCACAGGAACAATTAGATTTGGCAGTTAATATTCAAGAAGCTGAAAAATAAACTTACATTACTGTCACACTGTGATTGACAATGAAATTAACAGCAGTATATACTGGATGAGAACTCATCTTGGCAACACAGAAAGCAGAAGGTGAAGGAGCACAGCAGGTACCTCTCTAATAGCAGCACAGAACTTGCTCTGCAGCACTCTCTGGAGGGCCTGCAGCTTGGGAGGGGGCAGCTCCCCACTCCTCTGCAGTCTGTCCAGCAGCTCGATCACTCTGCACACATCTTACCAGAAGACAATACTTTAAATGTAAACAAAGTTCCTTAACACTTTAACCTCAAGATTATATTAGAACATGATTTTGAATTTATTTTACTTGCTATACTTAAAGAAAACAAAACAATGTGGCTATTATGACCTACGAATAACCCTAAAATGTTTAAACACCTAAACTAACTTCCTTTATTCGTCGATATGTAACGGTTACTGTGTTGTGGTTGTATAGTGCTTCCTGTCCACTGTAGTTGCGGCTATTTCTTGCACCAATTGCAAAATTATCCAATATAAAATGTTTTATATCAAGCTATCAACTTGATTATGCTTAATAATCAAAAATGCAGACCAACAAAGTAATATCGGAAAATTTTCGTTATTGTTACTGGTTTGACATACCAGAGTCTTAAATAATAAGCTAGCTAGATTTCTAATGCGACTAACGAGCCACAAGTGGAGGACGACGTTAGCTAGACTTGGTCAACTAGGGGGGAAAAAAATGATGCTGCGCGAGCCGCCCCGCGCCTGCAGCATCCCTGCATCTTATAAACAGCGAAGCGGTGTGGCTCGTGACGGCCAGGCGTCAGCATCGTCACGCCGCCTCAAACGCGGCAGGTCTTACAGCGAGGCCGAAGACGCGGCGTTGCTAAGCAAGCAGCCCCAAACCGCAGACACCCCGAACGGCGCCAGGCGTAGAGCGCTGCCGCTCTTACACCTGCTTTAAGTCGAGAACGCCACCGAAATCGTACGCCACACATCTCTGATCAGATCATAACCACGAAATCATTAATGCGTCAGAACCGTTGCAAATTCATGATACAACCATAGACAAGAGTTTATCCCGTACTTCTCCCCAAAATGAATCCACCTACCTCTTTCTAAACCAAGAGACTCTGGCATTGCCGCCATGTTTATTTTTCCCTCGTACAGGAAAACGCTGACATCACCACCAAGCCTCCGAGATTGTGGATCACGCCCAGAGGTCTTTTCCAATTAGAGACAGCGAAACCCGACAGGCAGAAATACAAAATTTCATTTCACTTCATTCACTATTACATGACGCATTTCCCCCAAAACTCTAACAACTGATTTTTGAAATAATATAACATAGGAGTATCAAAATGAACCGGATGCACTATTACGAAAACACATAAAACACAGCATCCAAAGGCAACCCGGCTGAGTTTGAAATAATATTAATTGAATGTTAAACTGTGCATCACTTAGCAGTATGGACACTTGTCTTAACACTGTTTTAGGAGAACTGTTAGCCCCATAACGAACGCGAGCCAATTTTCAGATTAGTTTTAAAATTTTAGGTCTTGCGTGCGAAATTACGGGACATTTAATTCAGCGTCTTCATATTGTAAGTTACAATACTTTCCCCAACTACCGTTACTGCGTTTACATGATTCAAATTTGTATATCGCAGGCTGTTCAATGAGGGGCGGGAGTACCATATGTACGCATTATGCAGTTACATTATTAAACATGAGACAGACCCTTAAAATTACACTTTATTCCCATATCTGTGCTGACATTAGTTGATAACGCTCGAAATAAGAAAAGAAAAAAATCAAGGAAAACTGGTAAATTGAAGGATACCGTAGGGGAGGGATTACATTTCACAAAGATCCTACAGTTAACCGATTTCCGGTTATAAAGTTCTTAAAAAATAATCACCTCCACAATATAAGGTAGAAATCAGTAGTACGTTTAAACATATTAAGTCATCGAGACTGCAAAATACAGTACAGCAACAAGGACAAACAAAAAAAGTCCTTTATTATAAAGAGGACATGATACAATCAGAATAACCAGATAACAGATGACACACAGCAACAACATGCATTCATTCTCCTACTCCCACCTGTCAAAACCAGTCAAACTTCACTAGAACCAAAAATGGCCCCCCTCCCAACAATGCAGCCTCTTACGGAAAAAGAATCACACATCTCACTGTTTCAATGCCTTGGTCACAGTTTAAAACTAAACGTCAAAATGACTGCAATATTCTAAGAACCTAACTATTAAATACATAATTACATTTCATAGTATGTCCTGCTCTTGGAAACATGGCAATCTACAGAATTCATTTTCCAAATGATGAAAATGATCATTTTAGAATTAGGAAACTCAAAATCGAGAGTAAAACTAAAACTGAATATTATCTGTTCTGGTACAAACACTGTTAAACTGCCAATGTATACAGCCTTACTGTTAAAAGTAATTTGACAGCAAACGCATAGATAAATCAAAGCACATGACAGATGACTGGGCCATAGCATTGCAGTGTATCATTGACCAGTGACAGCTGCTAAATTCAAAATCCAGGAAAATTCCCAAGCCCTTTGACAAGGCATTTTCTGATTAAGAGTAATATACTCTCATACAGAAACGGGCCAACACCATGTGATTTACCTTTCTCTTCTGAGTCTTCGTCTCCAATGGGTCGCTTGAATGACACCACAATCAATAGCTAAAACTGGAGATGAGTCCCACACATTAGGTTTCTTGAAATGTTCTCAAACGTGTATTAATGGCTTTACTGGTACTGCTCAGCGAACACCATGTTGGATACTGAAGGGACACATTACAGGGTTGAACTATGTGGTTAGGAATTTGAACGGTTTTAAGCACAATATTTGAATGGGTCCCCCATTATAAATAGGACAGCATTTCTACTACCCATGTTAGTATTCCTCTACTCGTGGCTCCATCCTATAACCATTCTCATTTGATATGTATCCCTCCCCAGACTGTACAGACTCCTGATCCATCATTCCATCTTGACTACCTTCCTCTGGCATTGGCAAGTCTTCAAAATTACTGGCCCCATCCTGAACCAGAGAAGGGGGGAGCATAGAGGGTGGGCCCAACTGCCTGTCATCCCTTCTCTCCCCACCCCTGTCTTTGTCTCCTCTCTCTCTCCTGTGCTCCCTCTCTCTATCCCTGTCTCTATCTCCTCTCCTTCGCTCTCTGTCTCGGTCCCGGTCTTTGTCCCTGTGACTACGTCGTCTGTCCCTGTCCCTCTCCCGGTCTCTATCTCCACGTTCTCTTCCCCTATCCTCAGCTTCCATGCTTCCTTCATCACGACCAGGGTTACCTAGGTCTGCAGAATTGGGGTCATCCATTGCTCGTTCTCCATCTACCATGCCATCACCAAGCCCGATTCCACCTTCACCCACTTCATCCCCACCACCTTTGCCTCGCTCCCGGTCCCTCTTTCTATCCCTGCTCCTACTTCTCCTCTTTCTTTCCCTGTCTTTGCTTCTCTCTCTGCTCCTGTCTTCACCCCCACCTCCCCTCTCTCGCTCCCTCCGTCTGCTACTGCCACCCTCATCACCAGGCCCACCAACCCCAGGACCAGGCACTCCAACCCCACGCTCAGCCCTCTCCCTCTCTCGGGAGCGTGAGCTGCGTCTCCGTCTCTCTCTGGACCTGGACCTCCTTCTTTCACCCCGATCCTTTTCACGGTCCCTCTCTCGGCTACGTTCTGCCCGACGATCACCACCACCACCACCACGGTCACGGTCGCGGTCCCTGAGGCACAATCGGGGGGGGGGGGGGGGGGGGGGGGGGGGAGAAGACAAAATATACATGACCCTGCAAATGTGGCAACTCAACAATTCACACAGCTGAAGTGGAATTCAAAGCACGAACAATGCGGCAAAGGATTTCATCTTACCCGCCTATAGGTCTTTCATCATAGCGAGAGGTATCGTCTCTGCCAGAGTGCTTGATATTCACATCAGCACCACCCCTCCTTGTGCCACCTAGACCACCACCTGTAAGACAGTTAATAAAATTGAAAGAGGTCAATTAGAGCAATTTTAGACAAACAAGTAATTTTACAGACGATAATATGAAACTGCCTACCTAGCCTGCGTGGATGCCATCCTTTAACTGTGCGTCCTCTCTCCACATCCACCAACACCCTTCTCCCATCGATCTTCTTACCATCGGCATGTTTGTAGGCCGCTGGATAAAGGATGATAGTAAGTAGACAGCCAATGGGACACAACGGCCTAATAAAGCATCTCAGGGGGAAATGTGAGTTTGTGAGGGAGAGAAGGAGGTGGTGAAGTGTGACATTAAGATTTTGCTCCAGACGTCTCTGAAAGAGAAGTTATTACCTATAGACGTATAGCACACAGACAAGCAATTAATGCTCAAAATACAAGAAAAATACAAACTCTACTCACAACCCACATGTCCATTTAACTACAGCAAGTAGAGAAATTTCATACTGAGGTCATTTCCCAGATAAACTTGACTGAGTAAGCTCATGGGTAATGTACAGGTATCACTTTGAGGTACTCACTTAAAGGCACAATATAAATTCGAACCTTTCAATAATGTAAGTTAATATTCATGAATATTTGCTCAATGCCGATTTTCAAAGTGAAACAGAGCCTTGAAGGGTTGACTGATGAACTGGACCAAAAAAAAAGTTTACTTTCAAAGATGGGCAATTTGATAGATATACATACCGCAAGTTAAGAACAAGTCCCTTGTAACAGACAAGATGTATTTGGGCATCCGTATAGGACAATAGTCTCTTCAACCATTGAAGAGGCTTTTATAGAAGGTGGTACAGAGGGTGGGTTGTGTGTTCATTCTGCTAACTATCAGTTTTGCCCATTTTAATGTCAAGGACTTGGTTAAGTGAAAATCCTAGCAAGGAAGTACAGATCTTTGGCCAGGCACACAGTGAAATTCTGCTCACTTAGCAGACCCCACAAACACCAAAATTATGATATGCTCCAGGCTAATAGGAAAGAATACAAATGTGCTACAGTTCTAACCCCTTGATCCAAATCAGAATTGCATGGCTCTGGGAATCTCTCTCTGGTTCTGTTAAACAAGCTACACAAACTGATAAGATTGACACAGGTAATTGGGGGGGGGGACATTGTAATGCCATTCAGAAATGCTTTTGTTTCTAACTTCTAGCTTCTTGGGAATAAAACATTCAAATGAGATTTGAAAGGGACTAAGAACTAACACTAATAATTAACTGCACAGGAGAAAGAAAAAAAAACAGGCACTGACTGAAGGGGTTTTGCTGCCGTGTTTGGGTCACTACCAACTAAAGCATCTTTAAAACAATGAGCAGATTTTCTTGACCATGTTCCTTCTTCCTATGTTCAGCTTGAGGAAACTGAATCTCAAATCCATCACTAGTCAGGAATGCATTTCCATTTTGTCTTCAGTCAATTTCTCCATTTCATCAGACGATGAGCCTTGACACCAATCCAAGTGCCAGCTGCAGAACTATAGAGCCAGATGCATTGACATATTTTACCTTTAACTTCTACCACCGAGAAAGACACCAATGCCTCAAATCATGTTCCAAGTTTTTAAAAAATCCCTCTGGTACCCAGTGTTGTTTGCAAGGGGTTGACTGTCAGTCTCACTGCCCTCAGAAAGTTAACTGCATTTAGAGCCACAAGTCTGACACCTTAGTTTCAGAAACGCAAGAGGCACAAAATGAGCACCGAGTGAACATCACGCTTCTCCATTTCAAAAAGCTGATATTAAAAGAATTGTGCACCAATACCAGAAAAGATTTTAACATGCGGGGGGATGAGCTGTGACATTTCTAACTCAGAAACAAAAACTTAAGTAAAAACGGCAACTGAAAAGCTGCACAGCCACCGACAAAATGTAAAATATGTAAAAGATTTGCTGGATGTTTTAAGTAAAATTAAGGTGTTGAGCAGTTCTCACTAAGACCCCCACCGATCAAATTAACTTACCAACAGAAAGTTGAACATTCCTGGCAAAAACATAGAAATCACTTAATGAAGTTTTCCTACATTTTCCACTTCCAAAAAAGTGTCTTTTGCAAGTCATGAGCAACAAGTCACAAGACTCCTCCTTCCAGAAAAGTGCACAGAATCATTGCCCGAAGAGGTCATGTGGTGAGGCCCAAGAGGCTAAATAACCATGACAGCAAGTCAGGGCTTAAGCCAGTTTTTATTTATATTGTCCAAAATTAAAAATATCCATTTGAAACCAACAGAACCTGAGGACATTTACAAGACTGTAAATCATGCCAATGTTTTACAGATACATTGACCAAGCTTGTATAAAAAGACCTGGTTGTCCCATTCCCCAATACCCTTTCAAAAAATCCAGACGGAGACAAACATGAATCAGCACAAAAATGGCTGAGTGCTGCCGTTTAACCACTGAGAGCCATACTTACATTTCACAACCTCCCTTTACCTGTCCCATCCAACTTAGTCCACTACTTACACCTCTTCTGCCCCATGGTCCTATGCCCTCTCCAAGGAGAAGATGAAGTTGCAGTTGATGGAATACGCACAGTACAAAATAAAAGGAATTGGCACTATACAGGACAAGGCAAGTTAACAATCGTACCAGGGGACAAATTAAAACAGCAGGTCTTACCACCAGCCTGTTACACAAGTCAAATGAATGCTGGCGGAATCAGGATGGTGGGAATCCAAAAACCTCTGCAACATCAGGTTAAAATTTATGGTACACGTATACCAGTAGATCAAATAACTGCTACTATGGCATACTGGTATTCAAACATGCAAATACAAGTCTACACAACAACAAGTGCTAATTTCCTAATACCTGTTTAAACCAAGGGTTGCCTTACACACAACCCAGATGGGACAAAAATGGGGAAAGGAAAAAGTACTTCAGCTAACCTGCTTACCTCAACCCATGGAAAAAGTGAAAATGGAAATTCAATTAAGCTCCATCTGACAATATTTAGAACTGGACAGTGCAGGCGTGCGCGCACACACACACTAAACCTTACCACGAGCTGAAAAACCACCACACATTTACATCAAAATCAGAATGATGCGATGTTCCCAAATCATGTGGACTGCCTTACCACAGCCACATACAGAAAACAAGGACAGACACCACACGAGCTGCAGGATCCCTCGTAAGCGCCGGCACTGTGGCATGAGGAGCATGTCTCCGTCACCATGGCAAATCCATCAGGAAGCCTTTAAGACGCCGCCATCTGACTCGGGGATGCCTTACCTCAACCCCACATTGTCAACCTTGCTAATCTTTCAGCATCTGATAAAGGGGATTGCCTTACCACAATCCATCCATCCAGGGCCCTAGTACTTCAGAATTGTTTTTATTGAACATTTAGGAATTTCCACACCACAACCCAACTTACTGGGTTATAATTTCACTATATGTAAGGTGTATGTATATAGAGTATAGGAAGAACCTATTTTTGACCATCTTACCACACCATGTGACTCCAAAGCGTCCCTTAAAATCCAGTTGCCCACACAGATGCATGCCGGGGCATGACTCTCCAAAAGCTCTTAAATGTATCTTTCTTCAGTTGTATAAGGGTGTAGTATGCTGAATGTAGTGAAACGTTTTGAGATTGTGTTTGATGCCAACTATTAATCTATGTTTCAAAGTCATGATTAACATGTTAAATCCTTAAACATGACAAACACTTCATAGATCATCTGGTGTACCAGATACCTGTAGAAAAAAGTAACTTCTGCCCTGTCAATTTAGGAGTACTTAACCAGAAGCTAAATTAGAAACCTGACATGTGAAATTATACTAATGGTTTGCTCATAGTAGTTCAAAGCAGTAAATTTTTTTTATGAAAATTTAGACTTTGCTGGCACTGAAGAGTAGCAAAAGTGAATGTTTGAAGGCGGTTTACACAGTGACCAAAACAAGAGCTATCTTTTGGGTAGAGGTGTGTGCATCAGTCGATCAATGGGATGAATTGGAGGTTCCACACTCTTCCACACAGTTACGTAAAATTTTTATAAATAAACAAAATATAATCTTCAGTTTGGTTGAGTTCCCTCCAGACACTGGAGTACAGTACATGAGTAAGCAGTACTGCACTGAGGGGGCAGCTGACAAATTATATTTAATACAGACATCTTAAGTCAACACTGTCTGTGCAAAGTGCATCTGTCAATGTTTTTATTCAAAACATAAGGGATAAATATTAAATACTGAGCAATGATATTTTCTAAACTAAAAAAGTCCTGTAGACTATTACGGTCACACAAGCTGTCCCCCAGAACTTGCTCACATGCATTAGATTTCTGCCATACAGGCAAACTTAAGAGGAAAATCTACCCTGAACTCACCTACTCCTGAATATCATGGCCATCTTCAAATTCAAAGTGTTTTATAATTAAAAATTTCACTTTGAGTGCCAGTTGGCCTATTCCATTAAAACAACTGCAGCTAAAACCCAATTACGGACCTGATTAAAACCGAAAATTTCACAATAGATACGTGACCAACTGTCAAGCCAGAATGTGCATTCTTAGCCCTCTTCAATCAACAAGGGTAATAGCCTCCGGTTATTTTAATACAATAGGCAAACTCTGAAGGCACCTACTGACTGACTGGCTATATCCTGTTCTTTTCTCTGTGAGGGGTGGGGTGGAAAGTTAAATCTTACCCATCATATACAAACCCATCATACCAACCATACACTGAGCTGTGGTAGTAGGGTGTACAGGATGTACCAAAATCATCATCTGCAAGCCAGCTCTGGCCAATAGCCATCAGAAAAAGGCGGCTGCAGTGGCAACGAGAACAACACACAGTTAATACACCGCACAGCCTAAAATTCACACAGTTCCTCACTACTATTAACACCATGTACTAGAAGACACTTCATGTATCTTGTAGTGCTATGTTCACTATGTAAAAGACCAGATGTACCATTGTCAAAAGCAACCATCACTTATAGCTGAAATTCCACCCATACTTACAGGTCAATCTTCATTACTGTAACAGGCAAGTTACTTAATGCCTCACAGCATCCCTTCCCATAACGGTCTCCTTACAGAGGTTCTTACCTGATACTACACATAAATTGAAGAATTTATGAATTTGATTAAGCAGCAGTAACTGCTAACGCCTTTTATCTGCTAGTTGATAAGACCTCCCCAATGAAGGCTGAAAGGCACTGGAGAAGAAAATTGCTCAAACCCAATGCAAAAGTATATACACAGTAACAGCACCTGCATTCTTGACAAAACCACCAGCCAAAGGCAACCTCCTCGTCCTCAGTGGCATTTCTTTACATAATCCATAAAATAATCATCGTGTGCGAGTTTATTCCAGTCATCATCCCGAAAGAAGGGCAAGCATACGGATGTAAAAGGAAGGTGCACTGCTAAAGGCTGATTGCATGAAGGCTTTCAGCTTACTACTCACTGAAAAGCCTCAAGGAATGGGGGGGGGGGTCTCAGTTTTTAAAGCGCAGGATAACGCCACGCTTAACAGTCAACACCAGAATGCAATTACTGAAGTGACTGCACAACCCCCATTTTCAAAGCATTACCAAGCAACTAAATAGCTGTACATCACACACATCAATTTCGCTTGGCCAGTAAAACTCAGCTTGGAAAGAAACAATGGAAGAAGAAAAAAAATACTACTCAACTAGCAAGACTGCATAGTTGATTTTACCCTATTTGGTGGCAGCAACTCAACTCTCATATGGAACTTGTTTCAGAACAAGTGCAACCAAAAGTTAATCTTGGTGCACGAATGACAAATTTCAGAATAGTATTAAAATCTGACCTAACAATTCACACAATATCAATTTCCAGTGCCCATGTCTTTTTTTACCAGCCCCTTGTATTTGTATGTTACAATAAAAAAAAAATCAAAAAAAAAAATCAGAGAATTAAGGAGTGGTGACAGTACTCACAATGCATGTCCCTCTCATGCTCATACTCAATGAAGGCATAGCCTCTGGGCTTCCCAGTCCTCTTGTTGTAAACAATGTAGATCTAAAGGAGGCGGGGGAAAAAATCAGTTGGAATTTCAATATGTTGGAAATTTATGAGCATGCAGACCAAAGCATGTTATCCTTACCCTTTTGATAGGCCCATAAACTTCAAATTCACGACGGAGTTTAGACTCTGTTGTATCGTAGTTCTGGATTTAGGAAACACAAAGGCACTTTTGAAACCATCTTTCGACTAAGCTACACAAATGGCAAAAACACATCACTGCTTCTCGGGCAACATACCACTCTTGCAACAAACAATGTCTTGAAAGCATCTCCTTGAGCATTCGGGTCATTGTGGGGATCCCCTACAATAAAAAGACGAGAACCGCCCCCAGGATTATCCTGCAGTCATAAACCACTTTGGTCACATCTCTATAATATTTGACAACAGCTCATGTACAAGAGCCACACACAAGTCACACACAGATGCACCATTAGATGACCTGCTTGGGAATACTGAAACGTGGCTTAAACAGTGATGAAGGGGAATATGCCTACCACAAACTTTTAATCAATAGCACAGCGAAATACAAAATCAAAAACGTATTTAAACTTACACAGCTTCAGCTCAGTCTCCAAAACAGCTTGTCTCCGCTCAATCTTCTCCCGCCTCTGTAAGGCAAACAGTGTCAAGTACCACTCAAACTATCACACAAAGACTGGAGGATCATCCGTTTACCTTTCTTTCCAGCCTTTCCTCCCTGGTCTCTGCTCTAGTTGGAGGAGGGGCATCTCTGGGGTCCTGAATAAAAAGCATCAACAAATACTCAAAACATTATAAAACAGCGCTGGAACTAGACTATATGCAAACGGCTTCAGTTGCTGTTGTGTTTCAATTTCAAAACGGTATCAGAACGCAGGCCCAGCCAAAACAACAGACAGCTGGACGATCACACAGTACCTCGAAGTGCTTGATGAAAGGTGCGATACCACAGTAAGGCTGATTGTGGTGTTTCTCGTGAGGCAATTTCTCCAACTGGGGTAAGTAGGGTATCGGGTCCCGTGGGGCAAAAAGCGCCAGCAGGTTTGGCGGCAGAAATTGGGTCATCTTTCACCTCTACCAATAAAGACACATGTACGCTCAAAAGACAGTCAGAATAGCATTAAATGTATCGCGTCGCTGCCATAAAACGTCAGAACTGCGTGAAAAACACTTTATACTTTCAACAACACTGGAAATTATTGATCACAAAACACACAAAGAAAACATTCACTGACGCCGGCGTCTAGGTTATCTAAAGCCGCCATTATCCAACGATCACTATATAAGCATCGCTAAAGCGTAACCTATTTCAGCACCTTTCGGGGACTGTAATACAGGCAGCTTGGTACACCTCGTTATTAAGGATATAAGGCTAGATTAAGGCCAGTTGTAAGTAACGTTATTGTCAATAGCTATATGCAGACGTTTACGCGGCTATGTCAACGCAGATTTCATAAAATGAAGGAGCAATACCAAATCCCAGGATTCTTAGGGTGGGTTTTACAATAAGGAAATATTCTTTGTCTTTTACAAATAGCATTAAAGGAACCGCATAAACAATTAACTTAAAATTAGAACAGAACCCATTCGTCCTTAATTAAAATCAGCATATTGACCCAATAAGCTACATCTTCGTCCAGACAACTATCGCTTTCATCCTGTATATAAATATAAACATTCTGCCTAACCTCTCCAGTGCACAAACACCATTTGAAAAATAGGCCTTGCTCGTGTTTCACTTACTTCAGCTATGCATCCAAAGACCAGGCCCTGACAAAGAAGAAACCAAGTTGGCTAACGAGCTTAGTATAACCCGACTGAAGTAGATCTGCATCCGACGTGCAGTTTATCTGTTAAAGTGGCGTTTATTTATCGTAGCGAGCAAGACGACGATGCGAAATCTTCGCAGAGGTTTTAAGGTCTTTCTACACCTCAATCGCTTTTCTTATAAAATGGCGCCTAGACGCACGCGAGAGTCGGCTCTGTAAACGAAGAGACGTTTCATAACGTCATTGCGTCACTGACTAGTAAGGTACGTCATTCGGCTTTGAATAGAATCATCGCAGTGTTTTGCCCTTCTGTGAGTTTGTATAGAGCAGTGGTTCCCAAACTGGGGGGCGCGCCCCCCTCTGGGGGCGCAGAGGTATTGCGGTGGGGGGGGGGGCGGGCACCAATGGGATAGCCTCACTCAGGGGCAAAATAATCTCTTCACAGACTGGACGATTAAACAAATACAGCAGCGCAACATTACAGTAAATAATATATAAACTACTAACTTACGTGTACTATTAGAGCATTTATGTAATTTATTTAAACTTTATTTTACCAGGTAAATTAACTGAAAATCTGTTCTCACTGCTTTACGTGATATTCGGGAGAAATAGCAGATTACGCATCGGAACTTCCTGGGATACAAACGTCACGTTCTTCAGCCAATAAGGACTAAGTTGTGTCGTCACGGAGGCAGTTCCAGTTTGTTCAGCAGGTGTTCTGACAAAACATCCTACCTATCGAGACGTGCTATCGAGCCTTTCTGCGCATGTGCAGTTCCACCGTTTTGGGATTAGGGTTAGGTTTTAGGGGTTAGGGTTAGGGTTAAGGTAAGAGTTTTAGGGGTTTTCGGGGGGCTAGGGTTAGGGTTAGGGTAAGAGTTAGGGTTAGGGCTATCGATTAGCACTACGGTAGGATGTTTTGATAAAGTAGGACGTTTTGTCAGAACACCGGCTGAGAGGTGCTGTACGATCTGTCTTAAGTTTTTTTTTATTTTATTAAAGTTCTCAAACAAGATAACAATATAGTGCATTTACAATATAACAAAAAGCAATATACAAGAATAAATGGTTAAGAACAAGGCAGTTGTAAAAAAAAGAGCATTAAAAGAATAGTATAGGTCAGGAATACTATAAGGCAGCATACAAGTACAGTAAAGTGACCTATCATATAAGGATATAAGTACGCACATACAATCTCGTTACCTCAATCGAAAAGCAGCATCAAAAATTCAAGTAAGGTGTGAGTTACAATTAAGTTACATTTGTCTAATGATGCCGTCCACAGGAGAACTTCATTTTTAAAGCCAACAAAAAACGGAGTAATCTTCAAGAAGCGGCATTTGTGAATGTAAAATTTTGCAACTATGAATAAGTTGTTAATCCCAAATTCTATTTTTTTATTTACTGTTTGTAGGCCAAATTTAATTACTAGATCTGTCTTAAGTAGTCTTGCTCTTACAAGGTTTTTGTACCGTGTGACATGGTGACGCGTGACGACGTTTTGCATCGCCGGACAATGACATGTAACCATATCATGAAAAACGAGGTTTGAAATTTTCTACATGAAGTGCAGGGAGACTATCAATTAATGGGAATGATTTAGTGTTGTTTTGCGCTATAGTATGGGCTGAAACCTGCGGTTTTCATTAAAAACAAATTGCGGTAATCGTAAAACTTTAATTTGTGTACGCCAATGAATATTAACGGAATGTTAAATCTGCATTTGCATAATTTCAAACTTACGATGGACTTTTATTCTTAATTCATTCCCCTTTTTTCTCCAACAGTGGTGAAATTGCACCATTTGTATTTTGTAATTGCATTTGTTTAGCTCAATTAGAAAAGGGATCGAGTTGTATTTCAAATAAAGTTTGAATCTGAACCTGTGTAGTTTGAATGGGGGGGACTCAATAATGTTCCTATCTAGAAAAGGGGGGCCCTGCAGAGAAAGTTTGGGAACCACTAGTATAGAGTGTTGTTCTTTTTAAAACTATATACACTTTACAAGCATAATATATGGGTATAATGTATATCACCATAAAAAATAAAATATACGTTTTTCAGACCTTATGTGACGCCCCGCTCCGTCCGATCCTAATGTGTGCCACGCCCACCTCGTTACCTCGTGTTCATCCCTGGTTGTGATCACCTGTGTCCTGTTATGTCTGGCTAGTCTTTTGTATTTAGTCCGTGTCTCAGTTAGTTTCCCCAGATCCGTCATTGTAGTGTCCGTAGATGTCCCTACCTGTCTGTCTCTCGAGCATTAAAACCCCGTTTGTACCCGACTTCCTGGCTCCGTTTCCTTGCTTCTCGGATCACCGGAGCCCGATCGTGACACCATCCATCCATTTTCCATTTTTTGTAAAAATCATAGGAATACATTTAACAATGTCAGACCAAAACTGGGAAGTTTAAGTACAATACCACCACAAATGCAAAGCAGTTTCTAGAACTACTTATACAGAAGGAATGACCTTTTTCAACTTCAGTCCCAAGTCTTTAAAGAGAGCCTATTACCACATAGGTACAATCAATTTTTTGTTATCAAATTATTGTGATGTAATGTTCATATGTTCTTCAACTATCTTCAGATTGATTGTAGTATGAGTAGCATAAAATAATTTCTATTTGGAGTGACCCTAAAAGTTTTGCATGGGTAGATAGACAGTGCAACTGTCATGCCCCGATCGTCCGCTCCTCTTGTGTGCCACGCCCCCTTGTTAACCGCATGTGGATTCCCCGTGTTTACCAGCTGTTCCTGATCGTTGTCAATTAGTCCATTGTATTTAGTCCGCGTTTCCGTTTGTTTCCCCAGTCCGGTCATTGTAGTGTCATTCCATGTTTTGCCTGTCCCTATCGTTGCTGTTCTTATTAAACCCCCGAGTT